CGTATAAACTCTGGCCGGAAGTACTCCGGAGATGGGCAGGACGCGTCTCATCAACATGTGAGTTTATGCTTCCCTTTCTTTCCCCTTCATTTATCACCTTTTTCACTATTATTTTTTTTATCTTTCTTCATGTTATATTCTTTTCACCATCATCTTACTTGTTTTGTTTTGTTTATTTCACATGTACTCTATTTTCTTCCCTCAAACTCTTCTCTTTTTGTTTTGTTTGCCTTTCACTTTTTTCACCGCTCCGTTCGGCTTATTCTACTTTCGTCTTACGCTTTGGACCTTATTTCCCAGCTTTATATCCTTTTACTTTTCCTCCATCTTCATCCTTTTATTTTCTTTTTATATTCCTCTATCATCGTCCTTCTTTTTTTCCTATGTTTTTTCATCTACCTTCATCCTTCATTTTTCCTTTGTTTTATCAAGATAATTCTTTTTTCCTTTGTCTTTTCCTCTATTTTCATCGTTATTTTTCCTTTGCCTTTTCTGCTATATTTATTCATCTTTGTCCTTTGTCTTTTCCTCTATCTCCATTCTTTCTTCTTCCCTTTCGATTTTCCTCTATCTTCATCCTTCTTTTGTTTCCTTTGTCTTTTCCTCTATCTTCATCCTTCTTTTTTCCCTTATATTTTATTCTATCTTCATCCTTCTTTTTACCTTTGTCTTTTCCTCTTTCTTCATTCTTTCTTTTTACATTTCGCTTTTCTTCAAACTTCACCATTCCTCTATCTTCATCCTTCTTCTTTCCCTTTTCTTCTATCGTCGTCCTTCTTTTTTTACTTTGTCTTTTCCTCTTTCTTCATCCTTCTTTTTTCTGTTCTTCTTTTTTACTTTTCGTCACTTCTTCCTCATAATATTCACAGCACCTTTTCATTCTTTTTCGGCTTTATTCTCTCTACTCTTTTTTTCATACATCTTTCTTTTTCTTTGGCTGCCATCTTTTTTATCATTTCACACCAATCAAGCTAATAAAGCCACTAAGACGCATTGTGTTACGGAGTGTTAGAAAATATGCGACAAATATACTATTAAAGAGAGAAGACAATAAATGAATAAGAATTAAGATTACATTTAAATTTTTGAGTTTAAATGTTGTCATGGAAACAATATGCCAGAAGATATTTCCACAAGCGAGTAGTGCGAGAGAAGAAATTGTTAGCATATAATTTTTGGTTATATCTAACCATTTCAACTGTAAAATAATGTGAAAACGTATATGTAACATAGAGGAATGTTCATCATAACAATTTCTATAAAAAGTATTTACCATTACCATGTTTTCTTTATTCTTTCTTTTTTTTCCCTCCAACTTTCCTCAGTTTGCATTCTACCTTTTTTTACTCATCATTTGCCTTGTTTTCTTCTTTTTCTTCATTTTATGCTTCCACTCCTTCTTTTACCGTTTTTATTTTTTTTCATCTTCATTGTTGTTATTATTATTATTATTATTATTATCATCCTCCTTTTTCTTCTTCTTTTTCTTCTTCTTTTTCTTCTTCTTCTTCTTCCAACTCAGTTTTACTCTTTCACATGCATGTTCTATGCCATTTCTTCTTCTTCTTCTTCTTCTTCTTCTTCTTCTTCTTCTTCTTCCAACTCAGTTTTAATCTTTCACATGCATGTTCTACGCCATTTCCATCGCGTTTTCTTCTCTCTTTCTTTGCTCTCCTGCAATGTTATCGTTCATGATCTGTCATCTCGGCCTCAGTGCCTTTCCCATCGCCGTAACGTAGCTTCCCTTAGTCTTTTCGATAAATATTTTCATGGTAACTGTTCTGATGCGATTTCCTCTTTAATATGTCGACTTTACGAATTCAAACGGAATACTGAATTGTCAGTTCGGTCTCATCGATTTACAGCTGAAACTGATATAGGTAACCGCAAGTTCTATGCTGACAGTTTCTTCTCTCGCATTTGTCGCTTGTGGAAGTTTGTTCGGGCTTTTCGCTTTCTACTCAACTTGGATCTTCAAAAATTTAAATGAAATGTCAATCGCTATCATCTGTCTTCTTAATCCGTGTTCTTTTATTGTTCTATCTCCTTAATATTTTTTTTTCTTTTTCTCTGATCTTTTCACACTCGATGACCCCTTACGCTTGATTTTAATTTCTTGCCTTGCTTAGGGCGAAATGTTTTTTTTTTAAGTAAGAATGTGAAAATTCGTTGCAGATACCTGAAGGCCTGGCTGGCAGTTTGTTTTTTCTTGGAAATAGTCACCCAAGAAATACTACAAGAAAATCAGCAAACAAAACACACATACCACTCCTACATGCCACCACCCTCCTCCAAGTTTAGTAGTTTAGTATCTTTTCTCATGGAATGGTTGCTGGTTATGTTTGTACTTTGGGAAACAAACTTCAATCCTGCCATTTTTACCAATGAATTCCAGACTGTCTTCCCCTCCTCGCTTGTGGAATTCTTTTTCGGCTTTATCGCCTTGCTTGGGGTGAAATGATAATAAAATAATTATTTTCTTTTTCTCTATTTTGGCTTGATAATCGCTCAATATTTCAACGCACTCTCAGCGTTCTCTCTCGTTCTTGTTTGTCTTCTTCTTCTTCTTCTTCTTCTTCTTCTTCTTCTTCTTCTTCTTCTTCTTCTTCTTCTTCTTCCTTTTATGTCGCCCCTCTTCCTTCTTTTACCGTCTGCACACGCCATTTAGCGCTAAAATTGTTTCCATTCCAAGTTTTTCTTTTCAAAATTAATTTCCTGTCACTTTTTCTTTTCTCTGATTTCTCTCTACCTTCCTCTCCCGATAATTCAAGATGTTGTCGAGTATGCCTTTCCCCAACTTCCTATCCTTTTCAGCACTAAGCAATGTTTTCCCCCTTACTATTCCTCCTTTGTTCATTTGATGCAATGCGTTCACACGGATTCGTTAGGTACTTTACTTTCTGTTTCCCGCTCTTCCACTTGCCTTCAGTATGTGCTGGGAGTGTCAAGTTCTCGAAGCCCTCTTTTCTCATCATATCATCCAGAAATCTAAACGCCTTTCAGGTTGTAAGTAAGTGTCCTTTTCGTTCCTATTTCCTTAAAACTTCCTCATTGATCACATGTCCCATCATTGGTATACTTAGAGGAACCATATTTCTGTTGTTTAAACCATATTTCTGTTGTTTAAAATCTCCTCTTCATCTGTGAGAAAATTATCCAGCATTTAATACCATAGAGGAGGATTGATATTAAGTCAGTCATTCTTAATATCAATGATTTCACCCCTTCCTATGGGCGTCTCTTTTACCTTTTATTTTCACTTCTTCTTCTTCTTCTTCTTCTTCTTCTTCTTCTTCTTCTTCTTCTCTCTCTCTCTCTCTTTCTCATTCTTTCTAATTTTTCTCCCTCTCTATTATTCTTTCCTTTCTTCTCTTTCATCTTCTCTTCTCCTCCATCTTTTTCCTCCTACCACTTTCACTCATTCCTCCTACTTCTTCATAAACTTAAACTGTTTACCTTTCATTCTTTCCTTTCTTTACCGCCTTCTCTTCTGCTCCATCTTGTTCTTCCCACCACTTTCACTATTTCCTGTCTACCATTCATTCTTTCCTTTCTTCTCTTCCGCCTTCTCTTCTGTTCTACTCCATCTTTTTCCTCCTACCACTTTCACTATTTCCTCCTATTCCTCATAAACTTAAACTGTTTACCTTTTATTCTTTCCTTTCTTCTTCTCTACTCCATCTTTCTTTTATCCTGACACTTTTATTCACTCCTCCTACTTCCTCATAAACTTAAACTGTTTATATTTAGTCCAGCGCTACAGCCTAACAGATGCTATTGATCGATCGAGGTGTACAATTATTCATATGGAATACGCAGCCAGATTCTGACTCGGAATTTCGAGAGGACAATGTCCGACCGACCACATCGAAACCATGTGCTGCAAGAGACACGCCCAGGAGGCGAGAGAGAGAGAAAAGCGAATTTAAGCGCGAAAACGGCAGAACAAGTATTTCTATTTAATCGTGCCATGTGCCTTCCTAGCATAATACATGCTGTGTGATTAAGGGCAAGGAAAATGTCGTTTCAAGTCGAAGGCTCTATAGATATTCATGTGAAAAGCTCAAATCAGGGTTGCGAAACCTGACTAGTCTTGAGATATGCTAACAGACCCAAGATTACTTCCGATGGAATTGATGGTTTGATAATTTTTTTATACGGCTTATCAACCCTGCGTTGATTATTTGAAGCCGAAAAATATTCTGAATCGTAAGAATAATTCAATTTTGCTTTTTATATTGGGGATGTGTGATTATAGCATTAAAAAAATTTTGAGAATTGGAAAAATGGGCAACTGAGAGAGAGAGAGAGAGAGAGAGACGATGAGTTTTGGGTTATTTAAAAGCGAAATATTTTGGATTGTAATAATAATATTGCATTAACTATTTTTCTAAGATAAATTTTATTTTTACAGATATAAGTCCGAGTTTAAAAACATGTATGGGGTGGGGGAAGAAAGAGAGAGTCATATCTTTCCCAAGTGTTTTTGCGCGTAAGCGAATGTCACAAACCCAGCCAAGCCATTGTCTGCTATACCACCCGCACATCCACAGTTCCAGCGGAAAGGAATGTTATTTAATTTTAATCGCATGACAGCTGATCAATTCGCACCCACACTCACACAGATACAATTTGTGTGTTGTATCCATTCAAGACGTGAAAGATTATGGTTCTCCACTGCTTCCTCTTTTTTATAATTCTAATTAATGTTTGTCATTCTTCACAGTGCCTGTTTTGCTATCCATTTACACCGGCTCGAGCCGGTATCGGAAAGTTATGAGACTGTTCAGCGACGATGCTTGATGACAATTTTGCCACTTGTCGCTAATTGTTTACATGAGACGCCCGTCATTTAACATGTATTCAAATAAAAGTATTTTCGCTAAAAGCCAGATGAAGAAAAAAGACGTCTTGACAGCAGAGTTCTTGGGCTTAATTTGTTGCAAGAGGGTTACTAGAATTTTGTCCTAATCGTAAGAATAATTCCAACGCAATGTGGCTTACGACCATGTCAAGTTCAAACACCGATTCTCATAAAATCATCGAAGTTAAGCAACGTCGACCCTGGTCAGTAGATAGATGGATGACTGCTTGGGAATACCTGGTGGTGTAAGCTTGATTGTGTAGGTGGTTTAATGGATGATGGAGCGTTATTGGAGAGCTGAGTTCCAATTCCATTCAGATTCGTTAGAATCACGTGCGTTTCCCCTCAGTGCATAATTGTTTCCAGTTATATTTCTACCTGCCCTTATATATATATATATATATATATATATATATATATATATATAATAAAAAGGTTTAAACACTAATATTCCATGGTCATAATTTATTCCATATATATATTTGGTTGGATTGATGTGAGTTTGTGACCCTGGGTTTCACGCTTTTGCGATCGTCAGATAAACTGATTATTTTTTTTTTTAAATTTTGGATTTATATAGATTGCGTGTATTGGTGTTATTATGGAAAGGGGGAGGAAATCGTCGTCGTGATGTCACTCATACTAACGCCAACATAAATGTATGTCCATACACCTATTGAGGTACGCTGGAACACATACACACTAGCTCGCCCACCGGGGCTCACACAAACATAAACATATGTGGACAGTATGGGACATGACATATGTATCTATATGTGTGCTGTTGTCTACATACATACGCATTTGATTGTTGAATTTCAATGATGGGATGTGCATCCATTTCTCTCATGAATATCAACAATCAGACTATTTCTCTATTTTTCTGCTGAATAGCATTTCCTCGCACGCACGTATATACGTGTGGTGGGGTCTGTGTAAATACACCAATACACGCAACCTGCATAAATCCAAATTTTTTAATGTCTGCTAATTTTTAACAAGATCTATTCATAATTCCGAATAACCTTCTGTGTATTGATATTAAAGGATGAGCGAAATGTGCTGTAACTGTTTAAATTTCTTTTATCTTTATTTCCCAAGTACTTTCGATCTTCTTCCATGATCATCTTCCGGTGTGCAAGTGGTACAAAACTATATGTTGTTCATTATCTCTGTAATTTATTCAATCACACACACACAAACAAGCTAATAATGTGTGTGTGTGTGTGTGTGTGTGTGTGTGTGTGTGTGTGTGTGTGTGTGTGTGTGTGTGTGTGTGTATTCAAAAATTATAACATTAACATTTTATAAAATCACTACAAAAATAGCCATTTTGTTTCAACACTTCTGGTGTCATATCAAGTGATGAGTTTTAAAAATGTTCAAATCAACCAAATACCCCTCAATAGGGGAAAGGCTGCTACATAACCTACAATGTCCAAAACTTGACAACGAACCTTGGTTATAATTACTAATGCTTTGATTTTAATGTAAGATTAAAATAGAAATCATTCGGATTAATTTTATATTTTACTATAAAATTATAAATAAAAATTTCCAATTTTAAATTTAACCTGTATTAAGTTTAAAATATCATAAAATTATTTAAAGAAGAAACTGAGGAAAATATACGTATATCTTATTATTTATTTTGTATTTTAATCGGAAAGTCAAAATTATTAACAAACGCTAATCTAAGGAGATTCAAACATCGTAACAACTTAGATACATTTGAAGGGATCTGAAACCAAATGATGTGAGCAGGCGAAGAAGTTTCACAAATTACAATACATACACAATCATATCATAATATACAAACACGTAGGCCTATTTAGATATATAAACACGCAAAAACACGGACGAAACAGGAAGTAGATTTTCACGAGAAAAAAAGGAATATCAGACACACACACATATATATATATATAATGAAAAGCAATCATACACACACTCATATATATATATATATATATATATATATATATATATATATATATATATATATATATATATATATATATAATTCTATCAATATGAAAATTATTTTAGCCTGATGAAATCATTTTATAGGAAGAAACACGTTACACTGAGTTTCAATTTGTCATTTGTTATTCAAATGACCTGGTTAGAATATTCATATGATCTGAATATTTTATTGTCGGTAGCCGAAATATGAAACCTTCAAAAGACCTCCCGCCACCCCGAATAAAAAAAGAAGTCATTTTCTCAATGCCTGAATCATTTTTAACAATGATGGCCGCACGTTTCCGGACTTTCTGGTGTGGTATAAGGAAGCGGACATTTTTCCAATATCTTTAGCAACGGATCAGATATATGAATTCCACTTAAGCTCAAGAGTGAACCTCAATCCGAATAGACGTTTAAAGTAAGGACCCTCATTGAGAATGCCACTATTTATTACGATGGAAACATCAACGTTACAAGCTTGTTTTTGAGGCACTGAACATTACAAGCCAAAGGCGGGGAGTTTGTGTAAAAAAAAAAAACTATGCTATACTTTGTCAAATGATTCGAGATATGGAAGACGATCGCTCTAGTGATGAATCTATTATCGAGCACTTTGCTGATTCTATGCGTGCTGACAGTTAAGTCGTCGTCAGTAGAACTCAGTTATGTCTCATGCGTGATACACGTTTAGGTGATCATGTATCTTTCGAGGCAGATTTATTTTCCCGCAGTAGGTTGCCATTTCTTTCTGTAGTAGACCAGTTGCCACCCATTTCTGTTGCCTTCAGATTCCTCTTCAACTCTGGTGTTATTATCAAATATTGACTGCCATATGAGAAAACAGATATCACATAGTATTTCAGCAAACCTTTCCTTGTTTGTAATGAATTTTTCAGTCAGTCAGTTATATGCCATGCTGATACACGCTTAATCGATCATGTATCTTTCGATACATGATTGACGAAGCAGATTTTTTCCCGCAGTAGTTTCCCATTTCTTTCTGTGGTAGACCAGTTGCTATCGAAGGCTATAGAACCCGGTCTGTCCTAGTATTTACCTATAGCTGGGGGGGAGAAGTAGAGGATTCATACCTTTCCCAAGGGTATTAGCACATAAGAAGATGTAATGGATTCGACTGGAATTCGAACTCGGTTCTCCGATTAGTGGTGTGAAATCTCTACTTGTTTGTAGCTCAACAAGTTGTTTCGCTGCAGGCGATTAACAACTTTTATGTTGGCAAAAGACTCGAAAGAGACTTTGAATTTCCAGAACTCTCTTGCCCCGATTACGTGATGTTCTGAAGGTGATAAAAGTTCTGCTACGCCGTTCCCTCTGATAGAGATGGTAAAAGTGGTTGCAATTAGTTACTGTAATAAAACATACATCCGTGAAATAAGTCTGTCTGTTCGGCCTTTGTTGATACAGTTTGTGTGGGATAAAATGTTCCATTCTAGACATAATACATTCGGAGATGAGGGAGGCTCTTCTGAAAACTATTCTTGAAGAATTCTTGAAGATTTGACTTGTTTGTTTAACATCAACTCCTTATGGGCCATTTAATACTGAAATTAAATTTTCTTGGGAATTTCGAAGTAATAAATATATCATATATGTTATTCTGCTTTCACAATTGAATACATGGTAGATGATATTCAGATTTTCTGCATAGAAATGTTTATGTAGACATAATTGATAGAGACCCTGATATGTGTTTTAAGTTGTAGTTTTGTTGAAGTTATATTTTGGAATACTACACTTTTATTTCTTTAAGAGGGTGTAGGATATTATATGGGTTAATGTTCAGAAAGGGTTATTTCATGTTGGTTCTTTGTTTCACTTTCTTATCGGCATATCAACACCTCTGTGGGTTATTTAATGCCGAAATCTAAATATTTTGAATGCAATTTTATGGCTTCAACTAAATATACTTTGAACGCAATCGTATGCATTCAACTAGAGATACAATGCATTAATGATCATTTTACTATAAATATATAATGTTTGTAATTCTATAATAAAATGTATTAATGGTCCTTTTACTGAAAATATGTAATGTTTGTAATTCTGCCATAAAATGTATTGCTGGTCATTTTGCTTTAAGATTTTATTATTAATATAAAAATGTATTTTTATACTTTCATCATGTTTTCTTTTTCTTTAGGCGATCACTACTTGCCCATAGCTGGGACCCTAACAGGTGCTACCACCCCGATTCGAGTGAACATGGGAACAAAGCCAATTAAAAGGTGGTTCCGTGTTCCTCAAAATCGCCAATCCCCAGGTCAAAGGCCTTGCTGCCGGATGTAGTTTCTTGTCCTCACGATCATGATCACGAATTCCCTGACCAATCAGGATCGTAGGGACGCAACATGTACCATAGCTGCAGGAGTGGTGTTTATTGGGCAAGATAACCTGACGGAGTCCAAGCCTCTCCAGGCCGGTTTGAATTTAGTGTTCTCCTCCTAGAACGTTTGCGACTCAGTCTGTCCTGCTATTTATCTATAACTGGAGGGGGGAGAATAAGAGGATTCATACCTTAGTACTAACACGTATGTGGATGTAATGGATCCGTCAGTAATTCCAATTCGGCTCTCCGATTCCTCAATCCGAGCAGCTATCCATTACTCCACCGTGCCTACACAAGACTAAATGCTGAAAGTGGAGCTTCAGCAATGTAAGATGTTTCGGTGTATCAATAGATTGTCGAATGAAATGAGATATGGGGCGAGTGTTTTGTTTTAGTATCAGTTTTGACACAGCCAGCTCCGTTAGCAGTGTGAAGTGGCCAAGAGAGTTGTATCTATTTAGAAAGAGATACACTGAACTTAATCAACCGAGTTGATTCTGAGAAAATTAGAAATCCAAGTAGGATTCATTGTTGGCGGCCACAATCTTAACAAGATATGCAGATGACATTGTGTTGATAGCAGACACAGAAAGGAAAACACCAGAACTCCTTCATAAGGTCGTGAAAGAAAGCGAGAAGAAAGGACTAAACATCAATTGCATGGAGACAGAATGTATGCTTGTTAACAAAAAGAACAGTCCAACATACATCTTACAAAATGGTGATATCAAAATCAAGCGAGTATAAAAATTTAAATATTCGGAAAGCGTTTTAACAGACAACGGAAAGTAATACGTCGAAATCCGAAGGCGCATTGAGTAACGAAAAGTGCCTTCCAAAAACTAAGCAAAGTATTAAAATAACGGAAATTTTCTTCAGTATCTGTCTATATTTCTGAGATGAGGTATTATGTACACTATTTATATTATTCGAGA